GTCATGCTTTATAGCGAATATGACAACACACACACACACACACACACACACACACACACAGACAGAGAGAGAGAGAGAGAGAGAGAGAGAGAGAGAGAGAGAGAGAAGAAGAAGAGAAGAGAAGGGAAAGTATGGGACAGGTGGAATGGTCGCGGTGCACATCTGAAAAGAGGGGCACTCAACTGAGCCTTAGAGAGAGCATACTAACACTTGGTACTTTCCTGAATGTACCTGATATCAATTGCGACCCGATGCGATCGAGAGAGTCCTACCGTAGTGTGAGTATTCTCCCTGAACGCGGCAACGCTGGCAAACGAGGGTTGAATATGGATGTTCTGTTTTTTCTTTTCTTTTTCGAATGGGTATGGATATTCTCCTCGAAGGGTCACGGCGGAAAAGAGGTTGGCAGGTTTTGATCGAACCTCTGGCATGAAATTTTGTCATGCAGAGAGAGAGAGAGAGAGAGAGAGAGAGAGAGAGAGAGAGAGAGAGAGAGAGAGTTCTCCGCATTATCATGATTCATGACTGTATTTAGACCGGAACAACGTTTGTATACATACGTTCGGAAACGTGAGGAAGAAGCTGAACATAAGAGAAAGAGACGACGATGGATTTCGAGAGGTGGTATGGGAAAGTAAGGGGAAGTGAGGGCATGCTCAGAGAGAGAGGGAGGATATACTCGGAGTCGGGAGTAACGGTCATGTGCAGTTTTATGTACCAACCCGCCGGCAGAAGTACGAGTAGGCTGTAGGCTCAGTTAAAAAAAAAAATTGATGCGAGCATATGCGCTTGTTGGTGGGATGAAAGGGGGTTCATGATGGGAGTCTGTTGCTGTGGGTGTGAGGCTTCTTTTTGTTTTTCTTTTTTGAAGTTCTTTTCTGTTTTTTTGAGTCGTCGTGTTGAGTCTTGAGACATCTTAAATTTTCTCCTCCTTTCCTTTCCTTCCTCCCTGTGCTTTTCGTAAATTGTAAGTGTAAAAAAAAAAACTAAAAAAAAAATGTAAGTGTGTCTGTGAAATGGGGTCAACCCGTCTGACTCAGCGACTTTGTGAGTGATTTTTTTGACCCCTTTGCCTTCAGTGTCCAGAACCGCAGCTTTGAAAAAAAAAAAAAGAAAAAAAAAAGAAAAAAGAAAGAGAAAAAGAACCGCAGCTCGTACGCTGCGCGCCAAGTTGCCAACCACGTGATATTGCTGTGCTCCTACTACCGTCTTCCCCCCCCGAACATAACGCACCCTGAAAATGAATGTCTAGAAGCTATATTTCCGGCCAGATACAGCCAAAATAAGGGTGCGTTGTGTTCGGGGGAAGATTGGAGTTGAGAAGATAAAGCAGCTCCATCATCAGGAATGAATATAAACGCTGCTCCGGTCCAAATACAGCCCTGATGCTGGGGCAGTGCTCTAGGAAGGCACTTGGCCCACTACCGTCTTCACCCCAATACAACGCCTGGTCATTATATCTGTATATGAGTCAACTTTCCGTCTAGGTATGGCGATAATGACAGGGTGTTCTTTTCGGGTGAAGACGGTAGTTGCATTTTTTTTTTTTTCGGACTGTGACTGCAGCGGCTATCACCAACCCTCCCTCTTCACCCGAATACGACGCCCAGTCGTTTTTTTTACCCTGTATTTTGGGGCAGCTTTCCGTCTAGATACGGCGGTAATGACAGGGTGCTCTATTCGGGTGAAGACGGCGGTTGCATGTCGATGCACTTCAACGGCATGCATATTAATCGTACTGTTGGCTGCACTGCAGCAGCGGCTATCTTTTTTTTAACAACCTCAAGCGTGCATCTCGACGTATGCCTACCATCTTCTCCCGAAGACAACCCCCCCTCCGCATGACTAACTGTATCGGATCCGAAAGACAGCTTGTATACATTCGCGACGATGGGGGTGTGTTGTGGTCAAGGTGCACGCTAATGGCATGTTATTCGTATTGTTGACTGCAGCGGTTATCAACAAAAGTTTTTTGACTAAATAAAACAGCACTCACAAAACTAAAAGCTACTAGAATTTCTTCATTATTATAAAGTGAAATTTGTTTTGAACTTAGCACACTGCGTGCATCTCGACGTACGCCTACCGTCTTCTCCCGAACCCCCCCCCCCCCTCAAGACTGTATGAGACCCGAAAGATAGCTTCTATACATTTACGGTCGGGGTGTGTTTTGTGGTCAAGGGAAGAAGGTGGTGTGCTGTACACCTCAGTGCTTCTATACATTTCGATGTTATCTTACGGCGTACTCTTGCGAACTACTACCAGCTAACCAACCAACCAACCAACCGAAAAAAGAAGAAAAAAAAATTGGCAGGATGGTTACGGTAACCGGTTTTAATTGAAGTTGTGTTAAAAAAAAAAAAAAAAAAAAAAAAAAAAAAAAAAAAAAAAAAAAAAAAAAGAACTTGAACGTGGTTCGACCGTCGGGGTAAGAAGGAAAAAGGAAAAGGAGTAAGATGCTGCTGTATTCGAACGACAAGTCGCAATTTTTTTTCCGGGTGTGGAGTTTACTTTGCAGGCTTCCACTGTGTTGTGCGGATGAATGTATTTGTTAAACCCAAAGACTGGAAGTGGTTAAGTATACATTATTCCGCGAGGGATGAGTTAACCCGGCGGCGCTGGGTACCCATATGCCGGAAAAATGCGTGTGACTGTCTGAAAAAAAAGAAAAAAAGAAAAAGAAAAGTATTTATTCTAAGAACCTGAGCTCTTCGCGCCTTTGGTAGTGCGGCTAGTGCCCTTGATCCATTGATATATTTTTGGCATTCTTGAAGTCGATAAAATATAGGGAAATTTGGAAAAGG